CCGGATCATCTGGCGGGAGCTTTCCCTCCTGGCTCCCCACCCCGAAGTTTGTGGCAGGCGTTTTAACAGCCCTGCTGTGACCCCACCACCACCTTCACCCCCTCTCAGGCTGCCCCTCTGCTCCCCCTCCGACCCTTCGAAAGAGGCCTGGCGCTTGTCCGCCAAATAAATATTTAACAATGAATTGAATGGTGATTACTGTAAAATGGGGATGATTTCCTGTGTATTTTAATGTTGCCAAAATGAGTCACCATTTAGCAATTAAAAAAAAAAAAAAAAAAGAAGAAGTAATAAATAAAAATTGCAGTATAATTACTTTCCAATTGGATGGCCAGGCCTGGGAAGGAGGGGTGGCAGCTCTGTGCAGAGAGAAGCCAGACTGAGCTCACAGGAAGGTTATTTTCCTCTCCAGGTTTTTTTGGGGAAAACCAGAGACCTCCACGGAGGTGCCAGCAGCTCCGCCACATGCGCTGGGAGGGGAAAGACCCAGCCAGGCTTTTGGAGAAGCGTTTTTCTGCTTCTATTTATAGGGAGTAATTTTGGTCTCCCTCTGCCAGGGTGGGGAAGCCACCCCGAGAGGACTGCGTGGGGCTGGGGCAGGGCTCGCGTGTGCATTTCCTGGGGGCCTTAGCCAGGGACCAAAACTATTTTTCCAGGTCCTTTTCCAGGACACTTTGATCTCATGTATTGCAATTCTTGCTGCGTGGTTTTTTTTTTTCTGTTGTTGCTGCCGTTGTTATGGCTGGATGCTCGTTGCTCCTTGTGGATGCGTGCTGCTCATGACCTGGCAGGAAGCTGCCACCGGCAAGGCTGGATTTTGGCACCGGCTTGAAATTTTAGGACACGCAGCCAGACACCAAACGTGTCAAATGGCTGTATTGTAGCGCCACAGACTTATTTTGTGACCTTGGCCGAATCCCTCGGTACCTCCATTGCTGTGTTATCTTAATTTCCTTTCTCTGTGATGATAAGCTTGTCTCTTCCAGCTGGGCGCGTGGCTCAGTTGGGTGCTCAGAGGCCAGGGCAATGGAGGACAGCCCAAAACTGGGGAGCAGTGTTTCTGAAGGATCCCCCTTGCGATCGCAGCAGTTCCTCCCTGAACTGGCTGGAGTAGGGAAGAACCCCTGGGGAAAAAAAAAACCCAGCAAGTTGCCAGCCCCTTGCTTTGTGGCCTTGACCAGGTCTCTGGCTGAAAACTGCCCCTTGCCAGCCAGCCAGCAAGGCGGCTGCATCCGCAGCCAGACACCAAACGTGTCAAATGGCTGTATTGTAGCGCCACAGACTTATTTTGTGACCTTGGCCGAATCCCTCGGTACCTCCATTGCTGTGTTATCTTAATTTCCTTTCTCTGTGATGATAAGCTTGTCTCTTCCAGCTGGGCGCGTGGCTCAGTTGGGTGCTCAGAGGCCAGGGCAATGGAGGACAGCCCAAAACTGGGGAGCAGTGTTTCTGAAGGATCCCCCTTGCGATCGCAGCAGTTCCTCCCTGAACTGGCTGGAGTAGGGAAGAACCCCTGGGGAAAAAAAAAACCCAGCAAGTTGCCAGCCCCTTGCTTTGTGGCCTTGACCAGGTCTCTGGCTGAAAACTGCCCCTTGCCAGCCAGCGAGCAAGGCGGCTGCATCGGCTCCCGAATTAGGGTGCGTGAGCTCAGCTGGTGACGGCTGCCCGCCTGTGGGATCCAGGCCCGGGATTCCTGGCTGCTTGCTCACCCCGCAGCAGTGAGCCGCTCTTGGAGCATCCCAGGGAAGGAGGGCTGGAGCTGGGGGGGAGGTGGATGAGTAATGCCAGGCTTGGGAGGTCTGGGGGAGGCCCCATCATGAGAGGTTTGTTCCATGTGGGGCTCGTGTTCGGGAAGCCGTTAATTGAGAAATGAGTCAAAGTTTGGTGGCTCCGAGCCCTCTCCTTGTTGCGGGGGACGTTGCAAGTGTGGGGAGGTGTAACATCGACCCAGTGTGGCAGAGGTGGCCTCAAGAGCCCAGAGGAGAGACAGCAGGAGCCTGCAAACACCCTCCCCATAAACCCACCTCTTTTAGTTTTTATTATTCTGGCTCTGCTGCCGACCCACGTTGGAGGGCATCTTAGCCCGGGTTGCAGTCCACTTTGAAGGGGAAAAGGGCTCAAAACTCCCTGCGGACAGCAGCAGTGCTTTCTCAGCTGGCAGTTGGATCAAGAGAGCTTGTGCTGGGAGAAGGAGGCCAGAGGTGGTTGTCTGCAGGAGGAAAGAGGGTGTCTGTGGAGGGCTCGCTTGAAGCGGAGGAGCGTGCTTTGTGGGTTTGGGGGAAGGGGACTGCTCAGCCTTAGGTACTGCACAAACCCGCAGGGCCCTGGCTTGGAATTGGTTGAGCTCCCCAGTGCAACCGTAATACAAACAGTAAATAAAATATGTGGTTAATCTTTCTTTCGTGGGCGTATAAAGCACTTACCTCCCCTTCCCCCCTGTGAGATGTTTTCTCCTTTGTTTCCTGTTTTTGTAGCGCTTAAAGAGAAGCGTGGGGGGGGAAGCCAACAACCTACCCTCTTTTTTTTTGCTTCTTGTCGTTTTGTTTGTGTCAAGGTCTCAAAAGGAAACATTTGTTCTTCCATCTTTGCCTTTGCTGCCCCAGCCATGTGCCTCTTGCCTTCATGGGAGGACCTACCATCTCCCTGGCACAGGGGAACCTACTTCCAGGGTTGAAAAAGGAAGTTGCTCCAGCATGAGGTTGATGTGCTGCTTTTTTTTTTTAAATAATCCAAAAAGGGGAAAAATACAATGCTGGGTTGGGGCACAGGTCAGAAGGCAGCAGCCAAAGAAAGGAACTCACTTGCATTAATGTGTTTGCCCCATGTTTCTGTGGGACATGGTTGATTAAGGCCAGGTACATCAGAGCTTGTGTGGGGTTGTCTCAGCTGCCTGTTCTTACTGGAGATACCAGCAGTGGGAAGGAACCTGGGGAGAGGCTCTGCTCTGCTTCTGTTTTGTTTCAAGGGGTGGAGTTAGATTTCCCTCTGACCTAGCTTACTGCACATTTTGGGGAAACAGAGAAAATCGCTCCACATTTTTAATATCTTTGGTGATTTTGAACACTTAAGAGGGAGGAAGTGTGTTGTGGTGCTGAGACCAGTGGGGAAACATAGAGGATCCTTCTGCAGGTATGCAGGAGTGGCACCCATTTGGCAAATCCAGGGGGACACACAGGAACTGGGCTGCTGAGTCCATCTGCTCCTTGGTGGGTTTGGGCTTGCCTTCTTGGCAGGCCCCCAGAAAAGCCTAGTGCAGGGGCTTCCCAAAATATGGGAGAGAGAAGAAGTGAATGCTTGGTAGAAATATGGGAAGAGACGAGTCCCAAGTCTGTACCAAAAGCTCTGATCCTTTGCCAGTGTTGGCCACCAGCCCCAGTGCAGAGATGGCCTTTGTGCTTTTCTTACCTGCCCCAGCTGATTGCTTCCGTGGTTCAAAAGCTCTAGGTTTCTAGAGGGAAGATACCACCAGCTCTTCTTTGATAGACAGCTCTGACTCCAGAGACACCTCCCTGTTTGAAGTTAGTCTTATGTCTCATCCCCATGCTGTCATCTGTGCTGGGGACACTTTTCTGGGACCTCGGGAGTCCTGGTGCTGGGGAGACTGGGGTCGAATCAGCTGCCAGGCTACTAGTGTGAGCTGCAGTAGGTTGTTTTACTCTGAAACAGGTTTGGTAACTTGTGACAGGCTGGATTTTTACAGGCTTACTTATTTTCCAGATGACTTGTTTATGAGGAGCCACGGCACGCAGCTCACCGGAGGCATTGTGAGCGCAAGTGCCCAAGTGCTCAAGCGTTAATTTAGCTCTTGTGACTGTAGCTGGTGCGGGTGGTGCCTGACAGGCATTCCCTATGGAGCTCTTTGAACATACCTGGTCCACTGATGGCTTCGGCAGTAGGTCCTGTGAAGCTAGAGTTGTGCAGGCTCTCCCTGCATCCTCTGTCTGAGCCTCCACCAGCACCCCAGAGCTGAACCACCAGCCCATTCCTCCTCTCTAGTCATCCTAGCCCATGTCTCTTCCTCTGCTGGCTTTGCCCATGCCTGGTTTTTGGCCCAGGGCCCCTGGGAGTCCAGTGTCAGGCTCCTAAATGGGACTGATCGTTGTGCCTTGGGATGCTGTCAGTTGGTCAAGCTGCTGTGATGAGTAATGACTTTTTGGGCCTTGGGCAGTCGCAGAAATCCCATCACCCACCTAGCCCTGCTTTCGAGCTCAGTGCTGCTCACCACCGTTGATCTGTCAGGCTGTGCTGTGTTGTCAGGGGCAGCAGGGGATTTCAGTTCAACCGATGGCAGCCTGTACTGCCCTACAAAGCTACCCTGCTGCAAACCCATCTGGGCTTGCTGGCCCAATGGCAGTGGGTGTCTTAGCAGTCTCAGATCTTTTGGCTGAACTGGGACCATCTCCTGGCTCTCTGGAGTTTGGATTGAGAGCTTTTCCCCATTGCTCTCCTGCTAAGCTTGAGCATTTTCCTTGCCCTTAGCCCATCAGGTTGCCAGTGGTTTCTTGCTCTAGACCCACAGCCTCGAGTCTTCTGTATAGTCATCCAAGAAGTGACAGCAGAAATAGAGGATGCAGGGAAGCAGCCTGGTGGGTTTGAGTGGGAGGGAGGAGGCTTGCATGGAGGGGACCGCTTTGGTAAGGAAGAGGAGTAGGACAGGGGCTGCAGTGGAGGAATCTCTGTTCCCGTGGGGGAAAACACTGTGTGGCCAGGTGCTGGTGAAGAGTGACGTGGAAGGGTGAATGGGAAAGAGATTAATCCAAGGACCTTCAGCCGCTTTATAAGAACAGCAATGAATTGTACCCCAGGCTTACCCCTGCAGTGTACAGAGGTTGGCTGTACTTGGCAGATGGGGGTGTCTAGGCAGAGCCTTGTCCACCCATGCCAGCCATCCCTGGCCAGAGAGCTTCCTGCCTTGAAGCCATTCCTGGATGGTCGCTTTGAATGAGCCCCCAAGATGGGGGTGTCCTGGTCTGGTCTCTGTATTAGGAGGTATAAGCCCACTTTGGCTGGTGATGCGAGTGTAATGAACTTACCCTAGACCCTTGTTTAGTCTAAATCTAACCCATGATGTTTATGTAAGAGTTGTGTGGCTGCTGGCATGGAGGTGTGCAGCATGCTGCTCTCCTCCAGCCCATGAGTGCAATGGAGAGGGAGAAGTAGGAAAGGCTTGGGCTGAAGCACAACACCCTCAACTTTCCTCCATCCCTCAGCTTCTTGCCTCACGTGGGAGCCCAGATGAGCCCTTTGAGGAATGGGTGAGTCCCAGGACTGTCCTTCCTTTCTCTTCCCCTTGCTCCAGCAAGCAAGGTCCTTGAGCTCTCCTGCGTGCTTGGACAAGCCTGGTCCTGCCAGAGGGAGGTCCACAGTCTCTTTTCCGCTCTGGCCTTTGCCTCTGGAGCTGAGGAGTTGCCTCTGCCCCGGTCTGAGCAGGGGGAGCAGAAGTGGGGGCTGGTGAAGGGGGTGGGAGGAGAAGGCAGATTTCCATGTCTCACAAAGGGCACAAGCGATCAGATTCGTGCAACTGCCCAAGAATAAAGAGGCTCTTAGAGCTCTGGCCGCCCTGACCTCTCTCCTCTCTGCTCCAGAGGACAGCGTGTGACCACACAGGGTTTTCTTAGCAGTGCTTTGGAGAGAGGCAAAGGGTTTTCTATCCCCAGATCTGCCTGCAGCTTGCCCTGCAGCATATTGGCCTATTTTTCGCTTGCTACCTATGTGTTTACTGAAAATCTTGGTACACACTGGTATTTTTTTCTTTTTTTCTCTTTAATTTCATGTAATTGTTTTGGGTTTTGTTTTGTTCTGTTTTTCAATCTGACACTGAAATGGGGCTCAGAGCAGCAGTGCTTCCAGAGCAGGGACAAAAGTAACCAGGAAACACAGGGCAAGAGAGGAGGGATCGACACTGAAACAATGAAATAGCCAAGCAAGGAAAGTCTGAATGCTCAATAGCACAAGCCTTTGCAGAAATGCCTGGCTAGTGCAGCATTTTATAATCAGCTTCTATGCTGGGCTGGCCTGCAACAGTAGTGTGATGGGGGAGGAATGCTTTGAATTAGCTGGATGCCAGAATTAATTCTGTCAGAATTCAAATGTACATGTATGTATGGATTTATAAATAAACACTTGGAGCTGGATTCTGCTTTGCCACTCAGGCTTGGGGGCAGAATCTGGTCTGGCCTGGCTTTTTTTCTTTAAATAAACCCACACAGCTGTGGATCCAGGCTAGTTTCTGGTGACTTTGTCAACTTTCTGCATTTATAAGCAGGCTATAGGCTAAGGAGATGCTGGTTTGGTTGGAGGAAGGTGAACAGCTTGGAGGAGATGGATCTACTGAGCTTGCTTGCAGTGGTTGCCAGTTTTCTGTGTTGAACCTCTGTTTGCTGCTGGAGAAGACAGGGCTGATGCTGGGGGCCAGCAGGGAGGTGTGGAGTTTGCAGGACCAAGGAGGGGTGTCCTCCCCTTCCCTTTGCTGAATCGAAGAAGGACAGATAGGGGCAGCCACTTCTCCTTTACCCAGGAGAACTACAGCCAGTGTGCTTGGGAATGGGAGGAAGAGATTCTTAGTCCCAAATACAGAGAGGGAGGGACAGTTACTTAGAGGCATGAGACTCTGGATGCACGCAAGAGTTTTTACATATGTGTCCCAGATGAACTTGCTGAAGAGGTTCCCAGTCCCAGATCCTTTTTGATAAGGACAGCTTTGTCCCATTCTCCTCAGGGGATCGCAGTTGTCATTTTTCTGTCTAGAGATTTGCTTGTGATAGAAACATGACCAAAGTTCTCAGCTCAGAGCAGTGCCCTGCCACTCTGTAGCAGGGCCTTCTATGTAACATGCACTCAAAGTTATCTGTTTGCTGGGACAATGTACCAGAACTGAGGAGAAAAAAAAAATAATAAAAAAAATTTAATTTAATTTCTCTTTCTCTTTTTCCCCCTACCTGCCCTTTCAAAATTCCTTGGTCTGCAGATGCTCTGGGGGGGGGCCTTCTTTGGACCGGGCTGGAAAGAGCCGAGCTGTGGATGACTCCAGATGAGGCAGTTGGCAGGCAGTGACGTTCCGGATGGCTGTGTCTCTCTGAAGTATGAGTAAATGTTGTCAAACCAGCTGACTGTATGATGTGGGGCTTGGGGAGGGCTGATCTGCCCTTTCCTCTCTCCACCTATCTCTCCCTGTGCAGGATCCCCTATTTGCTCAGCATCACCCTGTTTTCTGTCTGCCTGGGTAAACTGGAAGCTTCATCCCAGAACTGGAGCTTTGGAAAAAGGGAAGGAAAATCCCCCATATCCTAATGGAGGCAGTGTTTCTCTCACTGCACAACAGCTTAATCCAAACCCTCATTTGAGCCAGTTATTGTGTGGCTTTAAAACCCCATCCCCTGGAAACTAGTCTCTCATCCTCTTCCCTCCCAGTTGATCCTGGTTGTGGAGCTGATCTCCAGGGTTTGGTGCATGACCACATGCAAAAACAGATTGATCGTGCT